CAGGTCAAAGCAGTCGTGGCTGTAAGCGTGCCACTGCATCCAGCCTGGATGACAGAGTGAGACTCCTACTCAAGAAAAACAAAACAAAAAAAACAGGCAAAGGATTTGAATAGATACTTCTTCAAAGAAGATAATACAAATAGGTAATAAACACATGAAAAAAAAGATGGTTAACATCACTAACATCATTAACACCTCTAATCTTAGGGAAATGCAAACCAAAATCACAAGGGTACCACTTCATATGCCTTAGGATGGCCGCTATCAAAAAAACCAAAAAGTTAGGTGTGGTGGCTCACACCTATAATCCTAGCACTTTGGGAGGCAGAGGCAAGAGACCAGGCGTTGGAGATCAGCCTGGGCAACATGGTGAGACCTCATCTCGACAATGAATCAAAAAATTAGCTGGGCATGGTGGCACGTGCCTTTAGTTCCAGCTACTTGGAAGGCTGAGGTGGAAGAATCGCCTGAGCACAGCAGGTTGAGGCTGCAGTGGCCGTGAGCATGCCGCTGCACTCCAGCTTGGGTGACAGAGTAAGACGCCAACTAAAAACCAAACAAACAAAAAAAACCCCGCAAAATCAAACTGGAAAGGGCTAACAAACAAACAAAAAAACCCCTGCAAAACCAAACGGGAAAGGGCTGGTAGCAGGGGCTCATGACTGTAATCCCAGTGCTTTGGGAACTTGATGTGGGAGGATCATTTGAGGTCAGGAGTTTGAGACTTGCTTAGGTAACATAGCGAGACTCTCCCTCTAAAAAACTTGTTAAAAACTCAGCCAGGCATGGTGGTGCATGCCTGTAGTCCCAGCTACTTGGGTGGCTGAGGCACCAGGATAATTTGAACACAGGTGGTCAAGGCTGCAGTGAGCTATGATCCTGCCATGAGGAAGACCCTGTCTCTAAAATGATAAATAAACTTAAGATTAAATAAAAAACAGCAACATGTTGGTAAAGATGTAGAGAAATTGGAACCCTTGTCATTGCTGGTGGAAATGTAAAATGGTGCAGTTTCTATAAAACAATATGGTGGGAGCTTCCTGAGAGCTGAGTACGTGGAGCTTCCTAAAGGGTGGTGTGTCCAGGGAGTGCATGTAAGCTCCCTTCCCCCATACCTGACTCTAGTCATCCTCTTCAACTGTCTTTTGCAATATCCTTTATAATAAACCGGCAAATGTAAAAATATAAAAACAAAAACAAAATGGTGGTTCCACAAAAATTTTAAAATAGAATCACCATATTATCCAGTAATTTCACTTCTGGTATACATTCGAAAGAATTAAATCAGGTTCTCAAAGAAACATCTGTACACTCATGTTCATAGTAGTATTATTCATAATAGTCAAAAGGTGGGAGCAACCCAAATGTCCATCAATGCATGGATAAACAAAATGTGGTATGTGCATATAATGGAATATTATTCACCTTTAAAAAAGAAACTCTGACACATTTTCTACAACATAAATGAAACTTGAGGACATGTTTATGCTAAGTGAAAATTGCCAGTCACAAAAAGACAAATACTGCACAATTCTATCTATTGAAGTACTTAGAGCAGTCAAAATCATAGAAAGAAAGAATGGTTGCTAGGGACTAGGGACATAGGAAGAAGGGAGAGTTGTTGTTTAATGGGCATAAGTTTTAGTCCTGTAAGATGAAAAGGTTCTAGAAACTAACTACGCAATGTGAATATACTTACTACTACTGCACGGTATACTTAAAACTGGTTAAGATGATGAATACCTTTATGTCAACTTTACAATTAAAACTAAAAACAGTCTAAAAAAAAGAATAAAATACCAAAATGAAAAATCAAGACGGGTATGGTGGCTCATGCCTGTAATCCCAAAACTTTTCGGAGGCTGAGGTGGGAGGAGTGCTTGAGGCCAGGAGTTTGAGACTAGCCGGAGCAACACAGTGAGACCCTATCTCTACAAAAAATAAAAACAGCCAGCCTTGTTGGCACATGCCTACAAGTCTCAGATACTAGGGAGGCTGAGGTAGGAGGATCCCTTCAGCCCAGGAGTTGGAGACTGCAGTGACCTATGATCATGCCACTGCGCTCCAGTCTAGGCAATAGCTCAAAAGACCCTGTCTCTGAAAAGCAAAAAAAGAGGTCGGGCATGGTGGCTCATATCCGTAATCCCAGCACTTTGGGGGCCAAGGTGGGAGGACTGCTTGAGCCTAGGAGTTCAAGACAGCTGGGTAACATAGCAAGATCCTGTCTCTACAGAAAATTAAAAAATTAGCCAGGCATAGAAGCATGCACCTATCGTCCCAGATACTCAAAAGGCTGAGGTGGAAGGATCACCTAAGCCCAGGAGTTGAGGTTGTGGTGAGCCATGCACTCCAGCCTGGGCGAGAGAGTGACTCCAACTAAAAAATAATTTTAAGTTAAAATTAAACTCTAAGTACCATGCTACTATTAAAAAAAGTTTTTATCAAGCATCTCCTCACAAAGCATGTTACTGGAGTGGTAATTAGTTAAGGAAAAGTGCCTATGTCATCCAGCTAACCTGAGATGCTATCTATTAGGCTTACCCCAGGAACTGCGTATGAGCCCTTACTCTAAACCAGAGGTCCACTCTCTAATCCTGAAACTGCTGACATATGTGACACAAGAGTTGGCATCCACAAACGCAAAATCCTAGGATTTTCAAACCCTTCCTTCTTCCTACCTGCGACTAATAGAACACCAGGCTCACATCAGCACTTACTTCACTTTCACAACTTGATTCTCTATTCCTCCCCCACCCTTCAAGAATGTTACAAGAGTTAGTGGGTGTTAGCAAGACCCCTTCAGAAACTAGCCATTCCAGAAAAATAATTGCTTACATACCAAGGGCTGCCAACAAGAGCAACTTCCCAGCAGCATGTTTTAGTAACCTTAATGAAGCAGAGAGCAACGCCTCCTGTAATACAAATTCTGGTTGGAAGAAAGGATCTACAGATTGTGGAAAAGTACAACTTAAAAAGCAAACACCACAGACTCCAGTGGAGCAGGACAGCAAGCAGAGATTTCTAAATACAGAGCTCAATTGTAAGAGTCCACTGTACCTTAATTCTCACTATCATCATTTGCTGTCAAAAATAGAAACTTCCATGTCTTGATCCATTCAGAATGAGTCACAGCAGGCACAGCTCTGTTTCCACAGGACAGCTGGGTCAGAAAGGCCACACAGGGAAATGCAAAAGGCAGCCAGCAGGTTTTCTTAGGGATTATACTGCTCCAGCTTTTATCCTTCTTCCAAGCTATTCTGGTGCCAAGAAAGCTGCAGGGTGGTCTTTGCTCTGCTCTGAAAAAGCTTCAATCTTTTCACCAGCAGGACTGAAGTAGTCTCAGGTCTGCAACTCCCTCTGCTGCCCAATGTTTTCTTTGCATGCTGTAGTTGTTTTAATGAATTTCAAATTCAAATATGTTAAAAGAGCTAACTAAAGTAGCCCTTTATCTCCAAATATTCTCCAAAAAGGAATAAGTTCAAACAGGAGAGGACTACAGCTGGAATGCAAACTTCTAAGCTGAATTGACTTCTATATTCACCTACAGTAGCCCTCTCTCTCAGAAAGAATTTATTTCATTCAGTTTAATAAAGTATCCCTCATAGGCACCTAAAGCAGGAGCTGGACTTCTTGGTCTTTCATCACCAACCTTAATAACACTCATCTTCCAAAATCAAATTTAAATAACATTTAGGATGTAGGGCATTAAAACAATCTGTTTACCACTCTGTTTCACTGTATTTATTCAACTTTGTGCCTAGCTAACAGCAGATGCTCAATAGCCATCTAATAGAATTTTAACAACAACTACCTTGAGATACTGGGGAGGAAAGATTTGTCCACATAAGAATTCAGTTAACGACCACAAGGGGAGGACCCAAAAGCCTTAGAGAAAGGAGTAAGAGACAGGAAAGAGTCTCCAACATACCATTATTCTGCCTAACAATTTACCTATCAGCTATATTTTTAGTTTTCAGACTACCAATCTCACAATGTCTCCTTCCTGTTGACTTTTTTTTTTTTGAGTTGGAGTTTCACTCTGTCGCCCAGACTGGAGTGCAGTGGCCGCTCCCGGCCACCGCAGCCTTGACCCACTGGGCTCTGGCGATCCTTCCACCTCAGCCTTCCGAGTAGCCGGAATTACAGGAGCGCGCTACCACACTCGGCTGATTTTTGATTTATTGCAGAGATGAGGTCTCGCCAAGTTGCCCAGGCGGGTCTCAAATCCCACGGGCTCAGGCAATCCACTTACCTCAGCCTCCCAAAGGGGTGGGATTACAGGCTAAGCCACCAAGCCCGGCTCCTGTTGACTCTTTAACAGAGCTCTTTCTAAATGTAAAGCCACTTCATTCTTTACCTATACCCAAATACTTCCCACATTTTTGATCTTAGTGATAAAATTCACAAATACTGAGCTGAGCAAATACTGACCCCATTAAATAATGTCCCTAACCTACTTAGGTTAGAAATTCTAGTATTCCAGCATATAGAATTAGAAATGTTTTTTTTTTGTTTTTTTGAGTTGGAGTCTCACTCTGTTACCCAGAGTGGAGTGCAGTGGCCGCTCCCGGCCACCACAGCCTCAACCTGCTGGGCTCCGGCGATCCTTCCGCCTCAGCCTTCCGAGTAGCCGGAATTACAGGCGCAGGCTACCGCCCGGCTGATTTTTTAATTTATTGTAGAGATGAGGTCTCGCTGCCCAGGCCGGTCTCGAATCCACGGGCTCAGGCAATCCGCTCACCTCGGCCTCCCAAAGCGCTGGGATTACAGGCTGAGCCACTGAGCCCGGCTCCTGTTGATTCTTTAACAGAGCTTTTTCTAAATGTAAAGCCACTTCATTCTTTACCTATACCCAAATACTTCTCACATTTTTGATCTTACTGATAAAATTCACAAATACTGAGCTGAGCAAATACTGACCCCATTAAATAATGTCCCTAACCTACTTAGGTTAGAAACTCTAGTATTCCAGCATACAAAATTAGAAATGAAGGCATGTATTAGTGCAATAACCCTTGTTTATTTTTGTGAGCCCTTCCCTTTCCACCACCCAATATAAAAAAGCTTACCTCTCAGACAGAATTTCTACTCTTTGTCTCAAGAATCTATAGACCCATTCTTTGAGAAGCCCAAGTGCCCAGGGCAACTGCCACCCTTCAGAAACTTTAAAATAAATACCAATGGTGTCACTGTATAAAAGTTCTCTACCACTGGATAGGAAAAAAAAGTACATTTTCTAATAAAAACAATCCCACAGCATTTATTGTCATCTTGTAATAACATAAGGGTAATCAAAACAATATGAACAAATGTTTTTGAACTATAGTCCAAACAAAGGACACCTAAAAAAAAAAAACTATATTGCGCTCTCAACAATTTCTCACTTCATTGATCATTTCTAGTTGGAGACACTTTGCAGCAGGGTAATATTATCTCCTTTTAGCATGATCCGACCTACAACAACAAAAAAATAAGAAAGCTATTAATAGGCACACATTCAGAAGTATGATCATCTTTTAGCCTCAGAATTTTCTATTCAGCTCTTCAATAATATTTTGAAAACACTTTCTCTCTTGTGAAGATAGATGAACACACCAGACACGATGGCTCATGCCTGTAATCCCAGCAACGCAGAAAGCTATGGTAGAAGGACTGCTCGAGCCCAGGAGTTGGAGGCTGCAGTGAATTATGATTGTGCCACTGCACTTCAGCCTGGGCAATGGCAAGATCCTGTCTCTTTTTTTTTTGTTTTTGAGTTGGAGTCTCACTGTCGCCCAGACTGGGCTCCAGCGATCCTTCCGCCTCAGCCTTCCGAGTAGCCGGAATTACAGGCGCACGCTACCA